TCATTATTGGTTCACTAGGTTAAACCCACATGCAGAACACTAACGGAGATGGAGGAAAGCTTAACAAAGTTTATTTTGGAGAAGAACACACAGAGTTAATTATACTGGTTCAGGTGCTGGTCTGGGACAGGTCTCACAGTTATCTAAAGGAGATGAGAGTTTGGTTAGCCAGGGACTTATATGGCTGGACTGGTGAGTTGAAGATAGATGATACCTTGGAGAGGTTCTGATTGATCCTTGAGTGGAGGAACCGGTTGGGTCCAGAGACGGTGGAGCCACAGAGAGTTCAGCAGCAGCAGCGTCTAGCTTCTAGCTAGGGATTGACGGATCAGAGTTGTTTCACAGCTCTTCCCTGAGAGCTGATTGGAGTCAAGGCTGAGATCTTCAGGTTTGGCTTACTTGGGCAGGCAAGCAATCTTCCAGGTTAAGCTCCTCCAGAGCTTCAGACTTCGGTCGGCTTTTCTATGAGCAAAGAAGACAAAAACAGGTTAGATGACTAGTCTCTCTCAAGAGTCCACTAGAGATCACAAAGATTATCAGAGGCTCAGGTTCGCTAACCAAACTTGGTCAACACTGCGGCGTCGAAGGAAGGTCTGACTGCTGCTTATGAAGTATGGTCTTCTGATGAGCTGATGACTCCCAGGTGTGCTGAGAGCCCCAACTCAGGAATCCCACAGCGCTCTCTGCTGGCGACAAGTGGCAGATCTCCAGATCCCAACACTTATCCCGTCAATTTTGTTAATCCATATTGCTTTACCTTGCTGGGTGCTGTCTCTGCAGTTGATTAAGTCTCCACTGTACAGGATTCTGGCACCACTGAGTTCTCCAACAAGTTTATTTATGGATTTTGTTAAGAGAACCGGATTCCAATTTGTAAAAGAGTGCCTGATAAACGAGTTTGAATATGACTTTATATTCATTTTGCTTTGCTGTGGAATGATCATCACTTGAATGTTCTAAACTGGACTCCCCTTCAACTGATCTCTGCTTTTTTCGCTTTTTCTCATTTTTTGACGTTGCTATCTAACCCTTCATTGTCACTATATCCCTCTTCCATCCCACAAGAATCGCTTCCAGTTTCCTCACTACTCACAGCCAAGGACATTTCTCCTCGAGCGACTTCGAAACACGTGCCATGCACCAAAAGACCATCAGGAGCACCAATATTCGAGAGTCACAATAACAAGTAGTTACATTAGTCTTACTAAAAATTTAACCCAATGAAAGTTGCATAAAAGAAAAATATAAAACTGCAAACATAAAATCCTAGGTAAGATTTCAAAGCCCTAACTAATGTAGCTTCAATTCAAGGGTGTACTGGTAGTGGGTGTGGGCTACTGGAAAGTAAGGACTAGTGGATAAAAGTAGAAGGTGTATTGGTGTTGGTCCGTAATCTAGAGGTATAGTCTAATCAGGTGCAGATTTAGGAAATCTGGGGCCTTAGGCAAAGTGGGCCGTATGAATTAAGAAGACAACATATAAAACAGACCCATTATACAGACAGTGAAATTCTAATAGAATATACATTCGTTATTTGTTCTACATTTTGTCCCTCTCTTCTTGTCTTTTTTGTTGTTGTTTTCTTGTCTATGTTTTGTACTCAGCTGACTTTTCATGCAGTGTCAAAAGGAATGAAAGATTTTTTTCCAAGCACTAAGCTCACTTAGCTAATTGCTCCTTCCTGTGTTTCCAAAAAGGTGTTGTGCCATATGGCATTGTTAAAATGAGAAGGATTTGTCCCCTTGGAAGGAAGGCTGTAGCGCCCCGGAGGCCTTCTCACCAGTTTATTTCCTGGGAGCAAGTTATTTACGACTCTTAACTCAAACTGGGTAAAACCATATAAAAAGGACTATAAAAACAGGAGTAGAAAATAAGAGTTTATTCTAGATCAGGTCGTTACAGGACAGGGAAAAATGCTTAAAGGTTGCACAGCTGTGGTCTCAAAAATCACGTCCGCGAGCGTTCGGCAAAGTTTGAGCCCCGAACAACGTCATCACCTGCTTCTTATAGCTCATGGGTCTATGTGTTGCATCATGTTGATGTTGTGCTGGCCGTATCAGAAACTTACACGCCATATCATGTCTTGAACTTTATGCAGCTTGCTTCTATACTTCAGGGTTGCAGATAGCTCTCCTCTATCAGACCGGCTCCAAGATGTGCCCATATCCTGTGTTCTCTTAAAGACACGAAGGCTGTCTTGATTAGATGACCTCCGTACACACCGTGACATCCACAATGTGAAGGAAGGCCTTCTGCTCTGTCTAATCTGACTAACAAAGTAACAATACACATGATGTATAAAGACAAACCGTGATCTGTTTATCTGCTCTCCATTTTTCTTTTGGATGAAATAATAGCTGCATGAATCATGACAGCAGACAAGATAGAGGAGAACAGGAGGCAGAGTTACCAATATACTTTCTATGGATAGCAGAGCTTGCTGCTTTTAGATGTTGTCGCTAAAGTCTCCAGTAACAGAAAAAAGTCACTAGATTTGCCGCTATTCATTTTTTTGAAATAAAAGTGCTAGGGGGGTCTGAAAAGTCCCTAGATATAGCAACAAAAGCAATAAGTTGGCAACATTGCTCTTCCCATCATTTGTTTACAAATGTTTGCTGCTGTCTGTTTGGACCTTTCTGAACTTGTGCAGCAATGTGGTGGGCACTCAAGGGGGTAGGGACCTGAGACAGACTTAATAATATACACCTTCTTATGGCATTTTAGTGAAAGCATTTTTATCAAAAACATAATTAATGTGCACATATAAGGAAAATACGGTGGCCGACAGGTGCAAATGCGCAGCAAAAGAGAAAACATGCAAACAAAAAAAAGACACGCTCACAAATTAAATGCGGCAAACAAAAAGCAAATCAAATGCAGCAAACACAAAAGAAGACACCCCCGAATGAAATGCAGCAAACAAAAAGAGTGACGCAAACAAAAAAGAAGACACCCCCGAATGAAATGCAGCAAACAAAAAGAGAGACGCAAACAAAAAAGAAGACACCCCCGAATGAAATGCAGCAAACAAAAAGAGAGACGCAAACAAAAAAGAAGACACCCCCGAATGAAATGCAGCAAACAAAAAGTGTTGAAAACGGAAGTGCTCCAGACCACTAGGGGGAGTCAAAGAAAATAGTATTCATTTCTATGGGACCAGATGCAAGATTCAGAGAAAGATATTTGAAAGAAAGTAAAGGTACGTATTACTATATTTCTTTTCAGATACGCCGTCTTGTATAATATTATAGAATAACAGAATAATTTATGGGTAGCGTGATAGACTTTGTGTCAGTCATACCGTTCTGGGCTCGGTCTCGTAGATGCTTGCCTGAATTAGCAAAGCAATTATGCTAATCATAATCAGATACAAAGATAGATAGATAGATAGATAGATAGATAGATAGATAGATAGATAGATAGATAGATAGATAGATAGATAGATAGATAGATAGATAGATAGATAGATAGATAGATAGATAGATAGATAGATAGATAGATAGATAGATAGATAGATAGATAGATAGATAGATAGTGAATTCGATTTAGCACCTATCTGTCACAAGAGGACCTATGTGCATACCAAAGCAGTTATTGCGCTTGCGCGAAAGCAGCATGCTGCAGTTACACCGCTCCTGTTACGCTTTTAACTTTTGTATTTTTACCTTTTTTTGATTGCTCTTATTTTTTCACAGTGACTCTGTGAAGTATACCTCTATAATGAGGTATTTTTAGGGGAGTTTCTGTGCTTTTTTGTGCTGTTTTTATCATGCCGCTCCCACCGGGACACGCTGCCTTTGTTTACTCCAGAGAACAGCTTATCGCTCTAATGCTAGACAGCTGGAATACCACCCGAACTGTGGAGAAAAACACGCCGTGGTTGCAGAGGAGGAAAACAACATTATCACTTTACTTGGATTTATCACTTTAATTGGACTTTTCACTTTATTTGGATTTAGTTTTTACATATGCATAGATATACGTACAGATATATATATATACAGAAGAGCTATATGTGTATATATATTATCTCTTTTTATTCTTTTTTATCTTTATTATATTGTATAGTTGGATGTGGGTATATATCATGTAAAACTGTAACTGGAGCTTGTAACAAAAGTAATTTCCCTCTGGGATTATTAAAGTATTTCTGATTCTGATTTACCTTTTTTAGGTGGCCATGTTTTGCTGTTTCTGTGCAAAATTCAAGGTCGCTCACAACAAATATTACCTTGACATTACCAAAGGCTCAGCAAGATGGATCATCCAGGAATAGATGTACCTGGAAGTCCTGACTAAAACTACTTGGATGTCATACAAATTACGGGGCTTATATGTTTCTGCTTATTTCCAAGTCAAAATAAGAACTTCAGGATCAAAATCAAGCCCAAAAACTTAAACCCGTGATTCATGAAATTTGAAACCGATTTCAAAAAAAAAGAAGCCCAAAGCTGCTTATAATAATCAGACTTTGAGGACAGATGATCAAAATAGTTCCTGTTTTCCCAGCAACAACATACGCATCTCCCTCCTCCCCGTATTGTTTATGTTTCTGTCGCCGCAGATAACTGTCACATGTAAACGGCTGTCCACCCCAAGACGTACATAGGGATTAAATTAATTTACAAAAGAAAATAGCAACGCACAGTGATTTGGATAATTAACTTTAATATGGTCTACTGGATTTGAATTAGCATTGCGTTTGATTACTCGTTACTAAAAACAGTGGTCCCACGTCGCACATATTCATTAAGTACTTTTGGTTTAACAAGCCACACTTGTTTTAGATATGTATCCCAGCTGTTTATCTCAATAAATATGGTTTTATTATATATTTTTTTTAAATATTTTTTAAAATTATCATGCCTAACTGCACATAGTTTTGTAGAGTAGACTATTTATATGCTACTTTTAATAACAGCACAGAACTTTTACCCTTACTGTACTGTATGTTACTCAGTTTTTACACAGATTCTATTTTGGTGTGAACTATAGTCATTCAGAAATTTTGGATTTCTTGGGAAACCTTCACAATGTTGAAATGAGCCTTCGCTCCTTAAAGAGCAAATTAAAAAAATTATCACTCTTTAGACAAAGAAGTTACACACCGCCTCACTTGGTACATGCTGCTATTGAAGAGGAGCTAAAGGGACCAGGCCAGCATTATGGCTATCGCTTGATGTGGCAGACACTCCGACAGAAGTATTGTCTGACTGTCAGAAGAGACGATGTCATGGCATTGATGGCAGAACTTGACCCCTCAGGAGTACAACTGCGTGCAAGACCAAGATTTATAAGAAAAGTTTATAGTTCTTGTGGCCCAAACTATGTCTGGCATGCAGATGGCTATGACAAACTAAAGCCCTATGGCTTGGCAATAAGTGGTTGCATAGATGGGTATTCTCGGAAGGTGCTATGGTTAGTGTGTCAAGCCAGCAATAATGATCCTGGAGTCATTGCTCAAAACTATGTGCAATGTGTCTCAGAATTTGGGAAGATACCAATGCGCCTCCTGTGGCACTGAAAATGGAACAATGGTGGCAATGCATTGTACATTAAGGTCATCACACACTGATGATTTTGCTGGGGCTGCCAGCCATATGTATGGCTCCTCAACAGCCAACCAACGCATTGAAAGCTGGTGGTCATATTTCAGAAAACAAAGGTGAGTTTGTCAACAGTTTATTGTAATTTTTGTATAAATACCAAGTAGTAGACCTTGAAAAGGTGAGTAAATTTAGTAGTCTTCTTGGATAAGCAAACATTTCAAAATTTTAATGCAACATTTTACTTGATTACCTCTACTTTGTCAGAAGAAATGAAGAACTTGCATATCTTTTAATGACCATTATGTTTTTGTGCTATATACAACTTAATTTTATAGTGTAACATTTGAAATGGATGAATCAGAAGCTCAACATTTAAAGTATAACAGTTGATGTCTGCTTAGTTTATATTTAACTTTGTAGGTCAACATATATTTAAATATTTTCATGACATAGAAACTAGTCCTATTACTTTCTGCTGATATCTTATACTTTTGGTTTATTGTAGATCTCAGTTCTGGATGGATCTCATGAACGATTTGAAGGAAAGACATCTCTTCAATGGAAGTCATGAGCACACATGCCTTGTGCGGTTTGTCTTCATGGATATGCTACAGAGAGATCTTGATGAATGCAAGGACAGGTGGAATAAACATACCATAAGACCTGTTAAACAATCTTGCTGTCCATCTGGTAAACCAGATGTGATGTATCATCTACCTCACAGGTAATTTTTGTTGTTTTTGTCTTCAACATCTGGTTGATTTAAAACCCCTTTGGGAACTCTAAAAAATAATTTGCCAAAACAAAAATAATGAACAATGTATTAACAGTATGTCACTTTTTATTCTAACAATTTCAGATGACAATTTCTAAAATGTAAATTTAAATACAAATTAATCATTTAGACAGGTTACAACAATAGTCACAGCAGTAACAGTTTAGTGAAGAAATGTAAATATAACTAAATGTTTACTGTGCTTCTTCTATTCCTAGGTTTGGTGGAACAGACTGTGGTTTCCCAGTCTCCCAGGAGCAATTGGGACAGTTTGTGACAGAGACTAACAACATTCAATGTGGAGATGAACACCTTCAGGCACATTTTGAGAACCTCCAGAGACAGTGTGGCCTAGCACATCCACTGAGTTGGGAATCATGTGTCAAAAACTATATCCAACTGAAAAACATGGTGGACTTATAAACAAACAAGAATCCAAATTTGAAGGTCGCACACAAACACTAAACAGTGTCATAACTGAACAGGTTTGACAAGTTAAATAGTTAGCATTTTGTTTTGTTATGCATTTGACCTTAATAAAGCCCAAACCCAGGGGAGTTTTGAATCCCAAAGTCCATGTCTTCTTTAAACTGATGATACGTCTTGGACATTGGTATTTTGATAGTGTTGGAGCAGGTGCTACTGACAGGAAAACGAGAAGTGGCCTGAAATATCAGTTTTGGTGGTGGCAGAATTGAAGATGGAGGTAGTGTGTTTAAGCCGGTGGCAAACATGAGGACGTCCTGGAGAGAGAGATCCGTTTTTTTGTTCTAGAAAAGAAGCAATGAGTTTATGTATCAGATACTACAATAACACCAGAATATAGCAATAAATCTTCAAGCTCACCTTTTGTGTCAAGGAGAAAGTCTCTCCAGAATCCTAGCACTCTTGTTTCCTCATGTCTTCTGCTGCTACCCTTTTCACTGAGCTGAACCTCAAATATTTCCTCCAATATTTTGGATGTCAGCTGTTCCACTCTTGCACACATAAATGGCCTGAAGACGGAAGCATGCTGCTCCAAAGCATTCTGGAAGTTCAGTGTAGAAAGGCCATCCTTGAATCTATAAAAAGTTTGAAACAGAAATCACCTTAATTATTATCAAAAGAGCTGATATTTTTCAATAACACAAAGAACATTAATATGTCTAATCTTTTTTTATTTAGCATAGGTAATATTGCTGATGCACTGTACACAGTGAATTAACCTACAGTAACGTTAATTTTCTCCAGTTAAGCCGTCCAATCAATAAGGCTCCTACTTATTTGGCTGCTGTTGATTGATTGATTGATTCTTGCACTATTGTATATTTGCTTGTTTTAACTGAAACAAAATAGTAACTAAATTAGCATAGTTATTTTTTAAGTTAAGGAAGAGAAACATTACCTTTGAATAGAGAAATGGTTGAGGTAAATGATGTACCAATCAATGAACTCCTTTACAATTTTCAATTTATCATCAACAGTCACAGGGAACTGCAAGCAACCAGCAGTTTGCAAAATGCTTGCATGTCTTTCAACTGACTGGTGTAGTTCAGTCAATGTACCTGCACTGGATATCTATGGTAGAGAACAATAACAAAAAACATAAATGAATATTTATGAAATCATTACTGATATAAATTTGTTATGAAAGTATCACTGATTGCACTTTAAAAATTAGGTAACTTTATGTTATTAAAGATAAAGTTTAAACAGTAATGATTTATTGGTTAATGTCAAGTTGTCATAAAGACATTTTGAATAATACGAACTTTGTATTAAAAGTGTCATAATTTACTGAATGACGCTTTATGACAACAGTCATAAATATTCATGAAGGCTTATTCATGTTCATGACAGGTGTTATGTCATGTTTATGAAAGTGTCATGACAGTCTTATTCAACCCCCTTCAAATAAAGTGTTACCAAAATATCCAGTGAGCAACAGTTCTGTGGTCACAAATGCCTTGCTGGCCAGAGAGATTTGAGCTAATAGAACAGCAACAATAACTCAAGAAACCACTCGTGACAACCGAGTTATAGAGAAGAGCATCTGAACACACAACATGTCAAACCTTAAGTCAGATGTGCTATAGCAGCAGAAGACCACACCGGATGCCATTCCTGTCAGCTAAGAACAGGAAGCTGAGGCAACAATTCACACAGGATCAACAAAATTGGACAATAGAAGATTGGAAAAACGTTGCCTGGTCTGATGAGTCTCAATTTCAGCAACAACATTTGGATGGGAGGGTCAGAATTTGGTGACAACATGAAAGTATGGATCCATCTGGCTTGTACCAACGTTTCCACGATTCAGGGTGGTGCTATGGAGTGCACTTTGGCCCATTGGTACCGATCAAACATCGTGTCAACGCCAAAGCCTACCTGAGTATTTTGCCAAGCAAAATACTTCATGACCACAGTGTTTTCATCTTCTGATGGTTAATTCCAGCACGTTAACTTGCCATGTCAGAAAGCATGACTCATCTCAGACTGGTTTCTTAAACATAATGAGTTCACTGAACTCGAATGGCCTCCACAGTCACCAGATGTCAATCCAATAGAAAACCTTTGGGATGTGGTGGAAGGAGAGATTTGCATCATGGATGTACTGCCACCAAATCTACAGCAACTATGTGATGCCATCATGTAAAGATGGACCAGACTATCTAAGGAATGTTTCCAGTATTTAGTTGAATCCACGCCACTACGGATTAAAGCAGTTCAGAAGGCAAATGGGCGTACAAACCGGTACTAACGAGATGTACCTAATAAAGTGGCTTGTCTTTTTTATGCATATAGCATTCTTTTAAGTGAAGGTAGCGTAGGTACTTGTTTGTGCTTTAATATGACAATGTGCCTTTTAGAAAATATCAGATTTATTCTGCACAATAGAATCGTATCAAACACAAAATACAAATGATCTTAATGTTACATGAAGTTATGGAATAACAAAATTTTTGCTTGATTGTAACAAATTGTAAAGCCTCATCAATAATGCTATCCTACCTCAATCAAAGAAGCCCTCATGGTGTTTTCGGTGATGTCTTCTATCTTTCCTTCTGTATTTGTTGATGTTCCTGTGAGGTGCTGGTAGAGCTTCTCAGATAAGAATTGAGGACCTGGACCTCCATGAACGACAGAAGTGGCAATCATCCTCCCAACCAGGAAATATTCATCATTTTTGGCTGCTGTATAAATTTTGTTCACATTAATTCCACATTCACCAACAGCTGTCACATTCTTATGAGAAAACTCTGAAATATTGCCCTTAACGGCAATACCTTCACTGTCAAAAGTGATAAATTTCCTTCCTTCTGGCCCATCAAAGACTCTTCGAGTCCTTAAGCAGTTCATTAAAAGGCTTAGAAACTCGCGTTTGGGACCACCGTTATCAACGCCGTCTTTTGCCTGTCCCTTGTCATCGGTGAATTTTACAAATATTTCATTGAAAGGGTTGAAAGAAGCCCGCTTGAAACCTCTCTGTGCTCCATCCCATACATTGGCTCTGTTTATATTAAAGCGGCTGAGAGATGATGACGTGATCATTGCCAAAAGCTCTGAAATGATTTCTGCAGCAGTCACATTGTCTGTACTATAAAACATGAAGTGTACAATTATTTCAAATACAAAAAGCACAAAAGGATTTAGAAGAACAACTAATTTCTAATTAATACCTTTGCTCAGGGAACTGCATCAGATATTCATCCGGCTCAGAGTCGTTGTCAACAATTATTGGTGCGTACACATTTGTGTAGTTGCTGTATTGAAAAGAAAATAGAGTAAATACTTTACTAGGTAAATAATTTAAATTCATCCCTAATAAGGCATAGAGACTTCTGTTAGTCATTCTTGGCAGTAGGACAGCTAACACCAGCATATTTGGGTAATTCTTGCAAACTACTCAAAGTTTGATCGAAAAAAAATATTGAACAACCAGAAGTTATGGTGCTGTCAAGTTTTTTTGCTCTTTAAACCAGCTCAGCTTCTGCCCAAACTAAAGAAAGCTTGCTTCCCTCAAAGAAAAGTAGGAACCACGAAGAGAAAACACCAAGATCACAGGATCCACTACAATACTGGAAATCCAAAGACTAAATTATCCTACGTTGTACAAACTTGCAATGACATTTTTATGTACGCCGTCATCATCAGTGCCCTGTGAAAGGGTGTTCTCAAAAGCAGGAGAAATGGTTTGTAAGCGGCGCAATCGCCTTTGCTCAAAGATGTTAAAGGAAAATTCCGGTTTTTAACACTTTTAGCCCATTTTCTGTAGTGTCCAGGATGAAATCGAATGATCGACACCAAAATTTTGAGATTGGTCCTGTCTCTGCTATTTGGCTCATGCAGAATCCCCCCCTGGCTGCTTCAGAATGGCTTCCATAGTGCATGTCCGATAATGTCCTTAAAACAACCTTAAACGTTCTTTTTTAAAAATATGCTACTCACCGGGTCGTCAGCGCTGTTCAATGACGTTCCTCAAGAATCCACCTTTCGTATTCCATTTTCAGAGTTTTTTAAAGTGTTTAACAGAGACGTTAGCACCTCGACGTCGGAGTACACAGAGTGAAGCAGAAACACTTGGGCCTTGCGAAAAGACTACAACTAAGCGTGAACAGGCCCCATTTCCATTTCCGGTGGCGGAGGGATATTGACTATTCCAACAGAACTCAATGGGATTTACAAAATGCTAAATAAAACACTACAGGAACGTTTTTTCTTTACGAAACTTTTTTTGGAACGTCATTGAACAGCGCTGACGACCCGGTGAGTAGCATATTTTAAAAAAAGAACGTCTAAGGTTGTTTTAAGGACATTATCGGACATGCACTATGGAAGCCGTTCTGAAGCAGCCAGGGGGGGATTCTGCATGAGCCAAATAGCAGAGACAGGACCAATTGTCAAAATGTTGGTGTCGATCATTCGATTTCATCCTGGACACTACAGAAAATGGGCTAAAAGTGTTAAAAACCGGAATTTTCCTTTAACGCAGCTGATGTTTCTAAATAAAAATGTGTGAATGAACCTTGTTCAGTCTGTTTCCAGTCTTTATTGAAGTTGCCTGCAATTACTTTTTAAATCCAGCAGATGTCGCCATTCAGTGATACAGCAAAACAGTTTCAACACAGTGTCGACACAGTTTGGGAAATGTGCCATACACCCAATGGGGCCTCATCTGCCCATCACTACTCTGAATGCAGATTAAATGATATAATGTCCATTTGCCTACCAGAGTGTCTTTGTGGAAGCTTCAAGCTGAGGCTCTTTGTCTGAAGAGATCATTGTGAACACAGGTGTGCCAAGTTACCTTATAGAGTTCAAATGGGCCTAAGTGAAAGGGATGGGTGCACTTAGTTCTCTTTGATGTGTGTGGCAGTTGGGTGGAGATAGTAAATGCACTCACAAATGTACCAGTTGCTGTTTTACCTGGACAGGTGCAAAACTTTTTTTTTCAATGACTTTTTTCTGTTTGGAAATGTAAGAAGACATTTTAGTTGAGATTAATAATTCAGTTAGTTGCAGTTCTTGGATTTATCCGTGATGGATTTTTTTGTAAGTCTTTATGCCAAATGTCATGTGTAATTTCTATAAATCATTTCAGTAAATGTGTTGACATGTGCAAAAGTTGACATGTGTTCACACAACCTACCGATAGAAGTGGTTCTGGCCATCTGAGGACATGGGATGCTCCTGGACGTTGGTGTTTCCGCCATCCTAATTTAACATAAATTAGTACTCCAGTTGTGGTAGTGGCAATACCATACAGACTTAGCTAACACAATGTCATGTATCTCATCTTGGGTGATTGTGTTTGTGAATTTTTGAAAATCTTTTATGGTATGTAATGTTTACATATTGAACTGTGAAAGGGATTGAGTTCAATCTTACCTGATCAGACCCTTGTTCTGTGTGTCCAAAAGGCCTGAAAATAAAAATTAACATAGCTATAAAGTGGATATAAAAGTTTCTGCAACAAAATATGAAGCAAACAGTAATTTGTATTTTACAAAAAAATTTTCTCCAGTCTTGGAGTGCTTGCTTCATCTGGACCATCCCACACCTATGTACAACATATAAAAGACAGGTTTTATCTTATCAAAAGAAAGTGTAAGTAATTAAATTCAGGAGAAATGTCATAAAGATGCAGACTGACCACAGTGTCAGATAGTGGACTATCTTGAGATGGCAACCTTACATGAACCACACTGTCATCATCACTTGAACTCTGTCCACTGAAACCTTTAAAAAGCAATGATTATTTTGACATTTATTTTAATTATTATTTTTATGTAATTCCACAAATTGTTTAGTTGCATAGGAATTTTTCATAAGTTCATATACATGTTAAACAACAAGAAAATTTTAGTATCACTTGTACAAATAGAATTTTGTACAATTAGCAGCACAGTATATTCTGATTCCTTTATTCATCCATCCATCCATCCATTTTCTTATACGTTTTTCCCAGAGCACCTGGTCAGAACCCACAGGGAGAACATGCAAACTCCATACAGAAAGAATCCAGGTGAGGAATTGAAACCAACACCTTCTTGCTGCAAGGCAACAATGCCACCAACTGTGTCACTGGGCAGCAGATTTCTATTTATTAAGTTATTTGAAGACAGTAAGTCTTCTATTACTCTGAACCACACAGTTTTGTTTGTTGATATTAACCAAAGGAAAATGGTTACTATCATTTCAACAACCAGTGAAAAGAAATATACTATAAATGTGTACTATAAATAATAAATTTTCTTTTGCAAGGCTAAATTTTGCAATTAATAAAATGTACGTTTGTACATCAGTCTTTACAAAAGGGAGGTATGTTTTGTAAAGAGGAAAATCCTTTTGCTTCCTTAGATAAAATATATGACATCATAGCTAGAATTAATCATGCACAGAATTCTGGATATAGGAGGACATTTTGTCATTTTAACTATAAGACTATAGCAAAATTGATCTTCAAACTATTTGGAATGTAGATCAAAAGCACTTACAGCTTTTTGCAAATTCCTCAACAGGGCAAATGTAAAGCGTAATTCTTTGGTAAGGCTTTCCAATTGCCTCCTTGTACTTTTGCTCTGTGAAAGGAATGTCTGTTCCTGGGATGTTCTTAACCTCCCTTGTATCAGGATACAACAAGACATGGGCACAATCTCTCAGGTCTATATTGAAATCCTTTTGCTTCTTTAGAGCAGCAGCAAGCACTTGTTCCGATGCCCACTCAGGGTGAATCTCAACTGGAAGTAACTTCCCTCTCACTGTCTTAAAGGAATCTCCATGCATCCTCATAAGTAGGGATGGGAATCGAAAACCGGTTCCTGTTCAGAACCGGTTCCGTATTTTCCGATTCCATGGCATCGTTTGGCAGCTCGCTGAACGATTCTTTTTTCGATTCCCGCAGCACCAGAGCCTAAAGCGCCGGCTCTGGGGAGCACGACTTACGTCACGTTTTTTACGCAAGTTACACATTTTCGATTCCCGCAGCACCAGAGTCTAGAGCGCCGGCTCTGGGGAGCACGATTTACGTCACTTTTTTTACTCAAGTTACGCAAGTTGGAAAAACTATTCGAGGAGGAAGACAACGAGCTGTGGTCACTTTGTGGATTAAAGCCCCGTCTTTCCTTAGCCCAGAGGGTAGAACAGGAAATCCAGCTTTATAAAAGCTTGCCCTCCATCCCCTGCAGGGATAGCGCCACACTGTGGTAGTGGAACAAGCAAGATACGCTGCCCTTGCTATTTGGACTGGCTGAAAACTACCTCCGTGTGCAGGCTTCCTCCACCCCATCTGAGAGGGTGTTCTCTACAGCTGGAGACACCTTAAGTGCTGAAAGATCCCGTATCCTTCCAGAAAAAGCAGATATGCACATCTTTCTGCAAAAGAACTGTTAATTTTCCCTACTACTGTTTTATAATTAGTATTTTTTGTTATTTAAAATAGGTTATTATCCCATCATTTGTTATTAGACATTGTTGGTTATTAAGTTTGTTCTTGTATTCATTTTTCATTTAAACACAGATGTTACTCCAGTTTCACATTTCCTGTGGACATCTTGATCTTGTTGAGTTTGTAAGATTGTGCAATAGTTAAGTAAACAAAGTTGATGCTGTTAATCAAACTGTTTGTTCTCCGTTTTTCCCCAAATTGGAATCGAAAAAAGAATCGATAAAGAATCGAATTGTTTCATAGAATCGAAAAGGGAATCGGAATCGTGAAAATATTTTCAATTCCCAACCCTACTCATAAGCCCAACATTAATCTGGGGAGAGACAAAATGTAATCAATCAAATTAAATTATTTGATGAAGTATGTAATTTCCAGTTTGTGTTTGCACTAAATTAAAGGCATACCTTCAGTTTATTTCCCTTCTGTGTTTTGTTCTGATGCTTCTTGGTAAAAAATTTCTTTCTTTCCCTCTCTTTTATAGCTCTAAAGTTCATGAAACACTCTACACCTGAAATTCGTAATAAAAAAATACATGATTGGCACTTTAGTTATAATTTAAATGCATTAAATATTAATTGCAGGTACGATCAATACTGCAGTGATCGTACCTGCATCTACAGATGGTTTAAAATGCTAACACTTAAGCATGCTGAAATAAATAACCCATGCTTCGATTTACCTGTGCTGGTGCTTGGTTGAACATCGGGAGTTGCAGTGGTAGTGTTCCTCTCATCTTGGGCATTGTTTGCATGATCTTGGACAAATTTTATGTTTCTGCCACATTGACAACAAAAGTCTGCAGAATTTATGGCGGCAGTTCCACAAAATGGACAGTACATCTGAAAAAAAATTTGTTTTTTAACTCTCCAAAATACGTGAGGAAATAAATACCGTATTTTCAGGACTATAAGGCGCATATAAACGTCTTTTTTTCCCCTCAAAATGTGCGGTGGCCCTTTGGTGCGGTGCGCTCTATGTGTGTTGTTACTGCGGACTTTTGAGACCACCATGAACCATGTAGAACTCCTCATCTCCTCATTGAGGAGATGATGAAAGAGTGGCTGAGGGAGGTGAATGTGAGGAGACCAGGTTTATTTTTTCCACTCATCACCATCTCTGTTACTCTGTGACTCCATGCGTGCCCATCTCACAGCTGATGTGAAAAACATGGTGAAACAAATGAATGCTGTGCTTATTGCGGGAGATCTGACAAAGGAACTTCAACCGCTCGACATCGGTGTGAACCGGACACAGCAGGTGCAGCAGAAGCAGCGAGTTTACATGCAAAGTCAATGGTTGACGCGCGTATAGACGCAGCAAAAGGTCCTGCAGCGCATTTTGAGCCGCAGGCGTCGGGAGCGTTTAAGCATCTGACGCGGCGCCAACGCGCTGCTGCTCGAGATGGAAAAATGGAAATTTTGCTGCTGGACAGCAAATATAGCTGCAAGGCAGAGAAAGGATAGTGCAGCTCCGCCCAACGCGCGTCAGACACACTTTTGCACCGCGCAGCCAGAGCAGCAAAGCTGCTTCAGCCGCACGTCAGAACTAACTGGTACAATCTAAGGATGATGACTTTGATGGGTTCGATTAATACTCTGTAATAAATACTTGAATAAAGCACAATCATACTCAGTTTTGCTCCCGCTCTATTTTTCTACCTGAAAACTTAATTCAACAGCAGCCTCTGGCCGGGTCGCCTCCGGGTTCACCGCTGCAGCTGGCAGGTGTTTTTCATCTAAATAATCTAAAGGATTATAAAAGGATAATAGGATAATAAATGTGAACATATTCTGTCGGCAGGTTTCAGGATTTTAAATTAATTTATGCGCAAATAAACTGTTTCAGAGGAGTAATCACAGCCCTGTGTCATCAGCGATGTGTCTGTCTCACTACCGGCTCCCAGGATTGAATAATAATTCAATAGTAATAAATACACCTTGCAGCTATATTTGCTGTGATCAGTGGGAATAAAGTAGTTTTAATATGTTTTTAAGTGAGAAAGTCCACCTGAAAACTTAATCATTGCTGTAAATTCATCCAGATTATCATCCTGCGCTCAGACCCCCACATACCAGCGGTGCGCCGACAGTAGGAATCCCTTCAACAACATCCTCTGGCCGGCCGCAAGGAGGCAGACGCCAGGATAATTAAAGCGAACATATTTTGCCGGCAGATTTCTGCATTTTAAGTTAATTTATGTGTCAATAAACTGTTTCAAAAGGAGTGATCACAATGCTCTGTCATCAGAGCGATGTGTCTGTCTCACGGCCAGCTCCCAGGTTTGATTAATACTTTGTAATAAATACATGAATAAAGCACAATCATACTCAGTTTTGCTCACGCTCTATTTTTAAATACGCAATAGAGGTATTTAGTAGAGGACATGTACCTGTATATAAAAAAACGCGCCATATAGTCAGGACCGCCTTATGTGTGTGTTAAATACAGAAACGGCACACATAACTGAGACTGCGCCTTTTAGCACGGTGGGCCTTATGGTCGGGAAAATACGTACATTAAAAGTGGAGACATTGCCTACTAAAACGCTGAATTTTCTTGAAAAATATATTTAATTATACGAGTGTGTAATTTATATATTTTTTCTTGCTGTATGATTAGCACAATTGCTTTGCTAATTCGGGCGAGCATCTACGAGAACGAGCCCAGAACGGTATGACTGACACAAAGTCTATCACGCTACCCATAAATTATTCTGTTATTCTATAATATTATAAAATACGGCGTATCTGAAAAGAAATATAGTAGTACCTTTACTTTCTTTCAAATAGCTTTCTCTGAATCTTGCACCTGTTCCCATAGAAATGAATACTATTTTCTTTGACTCCCCCTAGTGGTCTGGAGCACTTCCGTTTTCAACACTTTTTGTTTGCGTCACTCTTTTTGTTTGCGTCTCTCTTTTTGTTTGCTGCATTTCATTCGGGGGTGTCTTCTTTTTTGTTTGCGTCTCTCTTTTTGTTTGCTGCATTTCATTCGGGGGTGTCTTCTTTTTTGTTTGCGTCACTCTTTTTGTTTGCGTCTCTCTTTTTGTTTGCTGCATTTCATTCGGGGGTGTCTTCTTTTTTGTTTGCGTCACTCTTTTTGTTTGCGTCTCTCTTTTTGTTTGCTGCATTTCATTCGGGGGTGTCTTCTTTTTGTTTGCTGCATTTTATTTGCTTTTTGTTTGCCGCATTTAATTTGTGAGCGTGTCTTTTTTTTTGTTTGCATGTTTTCTCTTTTGCTGCGCATTTGCACCTGTCGGCCACCGTAGGGAAAAGTTGTACTAACCATACACAGTAAATACTGCATTGTTAAAGGCCAAAACGGATTTAGTTTGAGGACCAAATGCCCTCTTTAAGTGTTACTTTAACGATGCAATATTTACTGTGTACATGTAAAAGGAGCTTATTGGGGCCCCCTGGAACTTAGGCCCAAGGCAACTGCCTAAAATCCTCTCGAGTCTAATGGTAATTTGAGAGCACGAACATGAAGCAATGTAAACATAGACTTTCAGTGTCATTGATGTTACAGACTAAACAGTATTTGAAAATATTTCTGTTGTCTAGCCATTTCCCATAAAGCTTAATAGCAGCATAGTTTTAAATTATAATTACATATTGTCAGAAATTACATTTATGTCGCAAAGCTTATAGGCCTTTGAAATTATTGTCATGTGTAGCCAATTATGATCCGCATTGTTTAGAAAATATATTTGGTGGAAATAATACTGTCACAGATATTAGTCAAGTGAGTGTATTTATTTCAAATTTAGCACAAGCTGACATTTTGATAGACATTTAAGCATTTTAAACGTAACATACAGCTTATAAATGTATTTATAGATCAGTAAGGACAAAACCACAAGGAGCTCCACGACCAGCATGAAAGCATCTTTTAAACACGCCCTTCTTTTTTTGCCCCCACCATAACTGACTTATATGTTAATCTAGAATAATAAATATCAATTTGAGTTATAAAGGCAACCCTTTACAATGGATATAACAGGATCACAACAGTTAACTGGTGTGTTATCTAAAACTCAACCAAATTACCATTTACATCTGTTAGCTATCACAAGTCACCACATTATTTAGTTTTAGTTTTTTCTCTTTTTATTTTTCATTCACTTGAACTTGCTTCTTCTTCAGGTTGACTGCAGATCTTTTGGCAAACAGGTGCGTTGGGTCGCGGCCTCTGAAGCCAGGCTGAATGTTAAAAACAGGCATGTTCCTCCAAATGGCTGGGCTGTTGTAGGCTGTGGAGTCAGAGCTGGGGGTGCAGGGTTTATTCTGGAAAAGCTGAAGGAAACTTTCCATGTCAGGCCCCAGGCGGGCCATAACCCCTGCCCTCACTGTTGTCACCGTCTGCTCATCGCAGGTCAGCAGGGTCTGCAGCAGTGTGATGTAGTATCTGTGAATTTAATAGAAGATACAAAATCGGGATCACAGAGTATTTTTCATTAGCATGCAAAGGTATTTATATACATCCAGCTTTGTAATTTATTTAACATTGTAATTGTAATGTTGAAATCAAAAATACCAATGTGTGCTTTTGTTGTTTTATTTTACAGTCTTATAAAGAAAATAAACTGAAAAATTATAGAAGTGTATGAGTGTAGGGAAAATTTTTTTTATAAAAATAATCTAACAAAAAACAGCTGAAAGTATAGATTTTTTTGTATCCAGTGAGCTTCACTTTCAGCCATCTATTTTAAGCAATCAAATCCAGTTTATTTACATATCACATTTAACAACAAAAAAGGTTTCCAATGTGCTGTACATAAAAACAAACAAAAACCCCAAATCACACACAGAACAGCAGTAAGAGTTTAAAATGAATGAAATAAAAAGGATATGGAAGACCACACAATTATGCGTTGTTAAAAGCCAAAGAATAAAACACTCCACTGTGGAAGCTGTTCATATATTGAGGGGAAAAGTATTACAAAGTCTGGAGCCAACTGCACAAAAGGTTCTTTTAAGTCTTGTCTTAGGGGACTATTAGCTCAAGATCACCCTGAGACCGAAGAGGATGTGCTGGAGAGTAAATATGGAGGAGGTCGGTAATGTGTTGAGGAGTCCCATTCAAAGCTCTAAACGCAAACAATAAAATCTTAAAATCAATTCTAAAATGAACACTGAGCCCTTGCAGAGACACAACAATTGGTGTCATGTGTTGATGTTTTCTGGTCCCCGTTAAAATACGAGCCGCCACATTTTGTACTAACTATATACAGAGATGGAAAGGGAGGTGAGAAAGAAAGAGGAGATAAGAACTAAGTGGAGAGAGAAAGATATAGAGACAGGAAAGAGGGAAAGGTGCATTAAAAAGAGAAAATAGAACAAAATAGTTAAAATAGACAACTCAGAAGATATACAGTAGCTCCTAGACGTCTGCTTCCGCACCTTCATGAGGATGACAGGGGGAAAAAACCCATAACAATAGAAAACAGAAGACAACCAAAGTGAACATCAAAAAGCAGCAGGTATCTCTTAGATACCCATATGTGGAAAGCAGAACCTATGGTTATTATAGATTATTAATAGTGGTTGTATTTATCTCTTGCTGCAACTTAGTCTTTACTATTAGTGTGTATCCATCAGACATGGGCAATGTGGAGTCAACAAGTCATCTCCATGTCATGTATTTGTTCTACCCAGCCACTGAAGCAGGTGAGTCCAATCTTCACCGTGAATTAACCTGTGCAGACTGGACTCACCTGGTTAATTGGCTGGGTAGATTCTGATGTAGTTACGCTACTGTTAACACATTAGTGTAACTTAGCTTGCTATAATTCTTTAGGTGGTAGCTTTGGTGTAGTGAAGCTTAATTTATTGTTGAGTAACTGATAGCTTAGCTCACTACACTGGACAAGTAGAAATCCTATCTGTCCTATGCTGACTTCTTTTCATCGGCTTCCTGTGAAATCAAGAAGAGAATTTAAAATCCTACTTCTCACAAATAAAGCCTTAAATGGAAAAGCTCCATCTTATATCAGAGAAATGATTGTTCGTTATGTTCCTAACAGAGCACTTTGCTCTTTATCTGCAGGTTTACTTGTGCAAGGCTCCATGTTAACCATCGCCTGATCTCCTGGGGCAAGTAGTTTTTATTGTTGGGAGAGTACAAATTTCATTGCATTTGCCCGGCGGGCAAGTTTAATGATCGCAAAAAAAAAATAAAATTATCACTCAAAATTACCTTAAAATCACCGACATTCGATGAGAACGACCCAGAAGAGTTGCCGGCACCATTTTTATTGTTTTGTACACATTCTCGCGTGATTTGAAAAAGCCGGGTGATTTTCTGCCAGATGGCATGAGACCAAAACGACAAACAAGCTAGAAAGCACTATCATATGGCAGTCTTCTGTACAGTGATGCAGGTAATACATAAAAAAATATTCATTAATTTTTATTTCTCTTAGACATTGGAGAGGAGCATTTAAATGTTAAACATGTTAAATTGGTGACCTGTTATGTTATTATTATTGTCTTGTTACTGCATTTATTTTGTCAGGGAAAACTAATCCTGAGTCAGTTATTTCAGAATTTAGGGAATTCTGAAATGATGTAAGACCGTGGAAACCCTGTATAAAATAACTATGTATAATGATTCTCTAGAAAAGTCACATTATATTAATAGTATTATCTTGTATAAACATACCTTGACTCTAAAATAAAAGTTATTCATTTGTGACACTGACTCTGTCTTGTGATTAATCTTAAGTTTTTAACCTGTCAAGTTTTTTTTAGATTTTTAACATTACAATTTATATTTTTCCAAGCACACAACAATTTAAAGCAAAGTTTTGTTTGAAAAGAATGTGCATGAAGGATTGAAAAGCATGTTGTCACGGTAATGTAGGCTTGAGTTCATTATCTGACGCATGCATATACACACCAGGAACCTGGAAATTTAAAAAATACCGAATTACAAAAAACATTTAGAAAACAAACATGTTTCATTGATATATATACAAAAATGAATATTAGGAACTATATTTGTCAAACATTATATTGGGCAAGTTTATCATTTTATCAGTCTGCTACATTCTATCTCTACTCTCCCATTTTGCAGAATTTGTTAGTACAATCTCTAACACTATGCTCCCTCTGCTTTTTCTCATTGTAGTTTAATTTTTTCTGCCCCTGTTTGGCTGTGACACCAGCCTGGAAAGAAATATCACCTGTGCTGCTGTCAGAGATGGGAAGTAACAAAGTACAAATACTTTGTTACTGTACTCAAGTAGATTTTTCTGATATTTTTACTTTACTTTACTACTTATTTTTATGGCGACTTTTTACTTCTACTCCTTACATTTTTACACAAATATCTGTACTTTCTACTCCTTACGTTTTAAAAAATTGGCTCGTTACTTTAGTTTTGAATCATTTCAATGGAGTTACCGTTATTATTTTTCACGTCATCAATACCAAATTCAATCTAATTGGATGGGAATCTACGTTGCATTTGACGCACCACTACAAGATGAATCGACAGATTCAGCGGTATTCATTAGCGGCAAATCATTGCAGCTTGGTGGCGGTGGCGTTAGCATAGTAGTATGGACGACGAGATGATTGAAAATGAACACAACGGAGATCTAGTCCTATTGGCAGACATCCATTTAAAATGTAGGCACCGGCATGAAAAAAGATGTTTCTACTTTTACTTTTATACTTTAAGTAAATTTACAAGCCTGTACTTTGTTACTTTTACTTGAGTAAAGAAGTGTAATCAGTACTTCCACTTTTACCAGAGTATTTTTTAACACAAGTATCTGTACTTTTACTCAAGAACGGAAAGTGAGTATATTTGCCATCTCTGGCTGCTGTCATAAACACCTTTGTTTATAGATGTTGGAGATCAACCTCTTTTTCAGAGTAGTCCTGTTTCTCTGACTGTGACATAGGAGCTGGCATTGAGCTTGTCTGCCTGGCTGTGTGTTTCCTGAATGGGGCCGCTTGTGGAGCTGGTTTGCAGTTGCCAATTGTATCCCTGTTTTTTTTTCTAATACCCCATTTATACTACCCTTAAAAAACCGTGTTGAGACCGGTCCGAGCTCAGTAACTGAGCTAACTTATCATGTGTAAATGGAAAGCAAACTGAACTGAACCGAGCTAACTGCAGACCAGTTCCAGAGGTGGGCTCGGCTCGGTTTTTCCCTGGCTCGGTTCTCTGATTAGAAGAGTGCATGAGCAGAACTCCGTCTGGCTGCACGTCCCGATTCACACTCCATTCCAGTAGTTGGCGGTAATGCCCCTCCGGAAGTTGCTTGCCAACCAACACAAAACAGAAGAAGAACAACAACTATAAATAACATTTGAAATCTTCTCCAACATTTTGAATAATGGCTTCAAAAGAGGGTGGTGCGACCTGCGATGATAATAATAATCAAGCATAACTTTCTGAATGTGACGGGCTCCGCCACTTTGATTTGCTTGATTCCCTCCTTCTTCGTCTTCTTCTTCTTGTGTTTTATGGCGGTCGGCAAACAACTTTTGGTGCATTACCGCCACCAACTGCTTGATTTCCTCCTTCAATACTGGCAGTAATACCGCAGATCGTCACTAGGAGGCGAGGAACCAAGATAGCGCAATGTGTAAACGGTCGTCAGAACCGAACTTGGCCTGGTTAACTGATCCGAGCTCGGACCGGTCTCGGCATGGATCGGTTTTTCAAGGGTACTGTAAGTGGGGTATATGTCTGCTTCTGTCTCCTTGAACCCCAGGCGGCCTCAGTGGTTGCCGCTCACACCGAGTCACGTTCTGCTGGAGGTTTCTTCCTTTTAAAAGGGAGTTATTCCTCTTCACTGTCACTACAAGCATGCTTAGCATGAGGGATTGCCTTCGAGTCAATGCAATCAACTGGTTTTCCTTAGATAGAAAACTTTGAATCAATCTGACTGTATGACCTGGTTGAATTGTAAAGTGCATTGAGATTACATGTTGTGGATTGGTGCTATATAAATACACTGAATTTAATTGAATTAACATCTCTGATTTTAGACCAGCTTTACTCTCTACTATTTAACTCTTTATTTTATTTGCATTTTACTCCCACCTCAATATTTCAATGTGGGATAGTGTGTTCAGGTAGTTGTGCCAATTAATTTTACTGACTTTCGACAATTGCAAATGTTACTTTATGATGGCTGATTCATTGTTCAATACTCTCCTTTCCCACCCCTTCACTTTAGGTGGATGGGTCTAGTTGTATAATCCTGCCATATTTATCCTGTTAATGTTAGAAGAACAAACAAAAAAAAATCCGTGACATGTCATTACATGATTTTGCTGTTTAAACTTTTGACCAAACATGCACTTTGATTTGTAAAAATATAAGAAAACCATTTAATTCACCAATTTTTATTTACCATTTCAGCCCTATTCCCAATTCAAAGCAAC